TGATTCCACTTCCATGAGTATCTAGACAAACTCATAAAGACAGAAGATTAAATGGTGATTGTTGGGGGCTAGGGATTTAGCTCAGTGGCAAAGCACCTGCCTGGCAAGTGCAAGGTCGTGATTTCAATTCCGGGTACCGGAAGAGAAACAAAAAATTAAACAAAAAAACAAAAACAAAAAAAAAAAAAAACAAATGGTGATTGTTGGGGGTTGCTGGGATCTGGCAGTAGGGACAGTTCTTTTTGGGGGGGGTAGCGGGAATCAAACTCAGGACCTCGCCCCTGCCAGGTAGGCGCTGTGCCACTGAGCTATATCCCTGGCCCACGGTGGGTTTCATGAGTGCAGAATTTCTGTTTGGAATGATGAAAAAGTTCTTGAAATTGACAGTGGTAATACAACATTATGAATGTAGTTAATATACTGAAATATACCCTTAAAAATGGTTACAGTGGTCAAGTTCATGTCATGTATATTGTACCACACTAAAAAAGTTGTATTACACATAATCTGTAGGAAACAACCAACACTTTTCCCAAGTGACAAACAAAACCAGCAACTCATATCTGGACTACTTTCCCCTAGAGCTACACCCTATTTATTTGTTGTTCCCATGCAGCAGAAATGCAAGAGACCTGCCCTTGTGGATTCTCTCTCTCCTTTCTTCTCTCATAAAAACGGATTATTCTTTGCCACTAACCTTCCGTGGAGCTGCTCCCAAGGTCAGCGTGACCTTCACAATGTTTTAGGCAAAGGTCAAACAGCATCACCAGAGGGGGTTGATGCCCCCACCCTTCTCTTCCTTCTTTAGGCAGCGCCTCTCATGGGGCTTCCAGGACAAAGCTCTCCTCTGCTTTGTTCTCCGTGTCTCATTTGCCAGTTCCTCCTCCTGTCCATGGGACTTCAATGTCGGAAAATCACAGAACTTGATTCTGGGCCTCTCCTGTAGCAACACTTACCCTTTTGGATCTCATTCTGTCTTGAGATTTTAACACCCCCCCTAGATACCAGCAGAGCCCAGCCTTTCACTTCTGGGGGTGTCTCCTAAGTGCCTGTGTCAGCGCTGCTCGGAAGGCTGCTGCACAGTGATGCCAGACTTCACGCGTGCACATAAGGACTCTTGTTCTTGGCCTCAGACCTGTCCCAGCTTCAACTTCCACCTCTCAGAGACTTACGTGTCCACTGAACCCATTTCCTTCCTCTCTGGACACCGAGCTAGGTCCTGTTTCCCAGCAGGAAGCAACATCACTCTTCCAGGCTCAGCTGCAGAAGCTGGCCCCCTGGACCCTGGCCCTGGTCTGGGTGATCAAGAAAGATGTGGGTTAAAGATGCCAGAACTGTGACCTCCAAGTTCCCGACAGGCTGATGGAGCAGAGCCCCTGCCCCACCTGTGTGGACCGGACTCGGTGTGAGTGAGAAGTAAACCTGGTTAGGTGAGGGGCGGTAAGGACCAATCTGCATGTAAAAACTTCTTTTGTGGCATCGGTATCTTTGCGTTGCTTAGCCACCCCCAAAGCTAAAACCCCACAGTACAAACAACCTTGGCTAACACAATGGCAACTCCATCCCGATTTCCAGGCTGAAAATCCTGGCCTCATCCATGACTGCTTTTGTGGCACGGCACTGCACAGTCTGTTGGCAAATTCTTTTGGCTTTGTCTTCGAAACACACACGGATGTGTGTGTACCGATGCTCACCTCTGCGGTTGCTGCCATCACTTTGGTCCAGGGTTTTGCAGCACCTTCCTCACGGATCCCCCTGTTTGGCCTCTGTCTTCCTACAGCCCGTCTGCCACCCAGGGGTCTGCAGGACCCTTTCAACCTAAAGCCATTGCTCCTTTTCTCAAATCCTGCAGCGGCTCTCACCTCTCTCTGAGTTAAAGCCAAAAGCAGTCGGTATCATGGCAACCACCAGCCAGATCCCATACCATTTGGCTCTCCCGTACAAACAAGCATGCCTCACACTGTGGTCACTCTATCACCTACCTCCTTGCTGCTCCACTGACGCCCTGGCTCACTCCTGCCTCAGGACCTCTGCAGCGGCTGTTCCCACTGCTTGGGATGCTTATCCCCACACCTTTGCTTAGCTCACGCCTCGGCTCCAGGTGTTTGCACAGATGCCAGTGAGCCACAATCTGCGGAACGAAGCCAGCCCAAACACCTTTATAGAAACTGCAGCCCATACTGGGCGTGGTGGCACACGCTTATATCCCAGCATTCTGAGAGGCCGAGGCAGGAGAGTTACAAGTTTGAGCTCTGCCTGAGCAACTTAGCGACCTAGTGACATCCTGTCTCAAAATAAAACAGTTCTGGGGATGTACCTCAATGCAAAGGCCCTGAGTGCAACCTCCGGGACTAAAAAAAATATTGTAGTCCAATCCCTACCCTAATCTGGCACTCCCAGCCCTTCTTGTCCTGCCTCTTCCTTTTGTATAATGCCTGTCACTTAACATTGCATCTAGTGTCTTTACTATGTCTACCATTCCGTACGTGCCCTGCAAGCACCGAAGCCCTTCTTGGGCACCTCATGTGCGCTGTGTTCTCAGACGCAGCCCCAGCACCCAGAGCAGCGGTCAGTATGTACCAGGTGTTCCAAAGCACCTGGTAAAAGGCCGGAAAGGTTTCAGGCCTGTGGACCACAGGCATGTGGGAAGATAGCGTCCTCCACTGATACTTTCCAAGGGACTCAAGTTCTAGCTGGGGTGGAAGTTCTCATTGGCTCCAGCCACATACAAGAACCCAAGGCTGGCGCTGACAAACATAGCTCTGAAGTCACAGAACTGAAAACCTGTGAGGCTCCTGCTCAGGGGGCCGTACTTACATTCACCAACATCACATGGCTGAAAGCCTTGTTCTTCTTTCAGTGGGGCTCGTAATCACTCAGTATTTCCCTGCTCACTGGTGTCACAGGAGCTTCACAAATGTCAGCAGATTGTGATAGAACCAGTCTAGATGCTGCTGAACAAAGTAATTTTAATCCATTAATTTTCCGAGATAGGCTCTATGTTGCTGAGGGTAGTCTTGAACTCTTAGATTCAAGCAACACACCTGCCTCAGTCTCCTGAGTAGCTGCAGCTGCAGGCACACCACGGTGCCTGGCCAGACATAAGGATTTTAAATCAACTCCGAGGGACACGCATCCAGGTTTGAGCAGCACCTCTCCAGGACCTGCCAGCTGGAGGCTGGCATGTGGGGGCTGTCGGGCAATTACGGAGGAGAATGATGACTAATGCACTGAAAAATGAAGCAAGCTGAGAAATCAGAAGTGGCAAAAATAAACCTGAATTCAGCATATGCTTGTCTACAAATGAAAAAGCCTTACGTGTTTTTCTTGCTATGTACAAAGAGGGACTTTCAATCTTGAGATGTTTTGGAAGAAAAATCTGGAGGGAAAAGCTGCTCAACTGCAATCCAGTTTTCAGGCTTCCCCCACCCTCCGCCCCATTAAAGCCAGCTGCCTATTTCATTACTAAGCAGTTTCAAGGCTTTCCTTCTCAGGTGCAGTTCAGGTCAGTGGAGACAGCACTTATGTTTATAATTTTCCTTTGTTCTGCTTTGCAGCTGGGTTTCACACCTAACAGAATCTATACATTTTCTATTGTTTCAATGGATGGCCTAAAACTAAAACAAACGAGGTTAAAAATTAGGGATTTAAGAGTTGAGCTATTGAGCTGGGTGTGGTGGCACATGCCTGTCTTCCAGCTAATAGGAAGGCTGAGGCAAGATTACCTGAGCCCAAGAATTTGGGCAACATAGCAAGACCCAGTCTCAAAACACACACACACACACACACAGAGCCAGTCTCAAAACACACACACACAGCCAGTCTACACACACACACACACACACACACACACACACACACAGCCACAACCACCAGCAGCAGCAGCACCATTACCACCGCCAACAACAAAAATTGAGCTACCGAGGAGAGTTTCACTAGCTGTTCTAGATTATTAGCTCTTTGAGAGCAGGGAGTACGATTCTGCACCAACCCCAGCACCCTACACGGTGCACTGTGCACAGCAGGCCGCAGTAAACATCTTGCAGCATTATTATTTAGCAGGATCATTTCCCACCTGTGCTCCATTTTTAGTCTATAAGGTGCTTGCAAAGCTTCTGGAGCCTTTTCCAATTCTGCTCTTCCCACCTTCCAGGGGAGGGAACTTGGGCTCAGAGAGGGCAGCTGATGCATATGGGGTACATTAGGACCAGAGGTAGCTTTTGGAGACGCCATGTCTCACACAGCCTTTTCTACCCTACAAAGCAGTAAGAAAAATCACGTCTTAAGTCAACAGGCCAGCACTGTGACGTCTTTCCCTTTCCAAACGCTGTATCTCATGGGAGAAAAGTTTATTACTATTCCTGTGACAATGATGAGCAATCAGAGGATACTTTGCACACACAGAACTCTGCTCCACCATTCACGTAAATGCCGTTAGTATCCAAACTTGTTTAAAATCTAAACTTCTTAAAAGTTTCTCAAAAACCCAAATGGTGTTTATAATCACACCCCTGGGTGCTGACTAGAGAGGTGGTAACTCCTGGAACCACTCAGTTACAGACCTCAGGCTCGGGAGCAGAGAAATCAAGGGCCAGCGTCTGTGGCCAACATCTGGTGAGGCTGGGCAGATGGCGCACACCTGTAATTCTAGCACTTGGGAGACTGAGGCAGGAGGATTGCTGCAAATTCAAGGGCAGCCTGGGCTACACAGTGAGACTGTCTCAAAACCAAACCATCTGGTGAGGACACTGCCAGCGCCTGCCTTGTAGGAGCCAAAGTGCCTGTGCTTAGGGGCCCTGGCCTCTGAGGACCATGGTTCAGAAATGGACCGGCCGAAACTTCCAGAGTGGAAGGAGTGAGCAGACCACTGCAACTGTTCCTAGGAGGGCCTCAGCCCGTTCCTGGCCCACAGGTCTCTGTGCAGCCCGAGAGTGCTCTGCACCAGGGGCCAGGGACTGGTTTGCGCTCACAGGACTGCTTTGATTTAGAAATAGGACACACACTGCTTAAATACTTTTATTATTTTGTAAAAATTATTTGGACATTGATAGCTCTGCAAAATACTTCTCCCGTCCCAAACCCTCAAACCCTTTCTATGCCCTCCTTAAAGAAACAGAATGCTCGGAGTTTGCGCCCATTCAAACCTAATTTTAAAAAAACATTTTTAAAATCAAGTATTATTTTTCTTTCCCAGAACTTGTTAGTAATTTTAAACCACGCAACATACTTAATGGCATTTCTTTCTTAAAAACTAGCTTATCAGACTATTTTATGAGGAAAAAAATTAATTCAAGGCCTTAGAGAATTTAAACTCCCTGCTTCTGAAAGCAAAAGACATTGGAAACCCGGCTGCTTGCCTGGAGTTTGTGATTTCAGCATCATCAACAGAACCAGCACAGACGGATGTTCTGCTCCACATTAGGCATTGTCTAGTTACGTTTGGACTGCAGCTGAAACCCTATACGAACTTTAAAAGGGTCAGTGGGTGGATGGGAGAAGTCCAGGGCATAAGAGGGACAAGGCGGGGGCCGGCAGGGTGGAAGCCTTCTAAGTAATGGGGTAAGAGCCAAATCCCTAAGGACCCCGCCTCGAAGCAGGCTTGTGTGGGGTGGAGGAAGACAGTGAGAAATCTGCAAGCTGTGCGTCTAACGATGAATACAAACATCAACCAAGGATATTGCACATAGGATCAGAGGCATGTAAACCACTAAGAAAGTTCAGGAAAGAACAAATACACATGGAGATGATTTCCCAAAGGCCCTTCAGGGACAAAGGGAAAAGAGTTGGTATTGATTTTGGGAGTTGCTAAGAGGAGCTGGAAAAATGCTTAGCCCCATCCCTCTGCTCAGTGGGCAGATTTACGCCAATTAATCTTTCTCACACACCTGCCTGAAGGATCTGGTGAAGGTATCACGTCTTCACTTATTCTAGTACATCTGGTGCACTTCACTACCCAGCTGAGGAGAGAAGGACCCCTGTCACCGACACCAGCAGCACCTGCACGCATCCCTCCTTGCACACTGGTGCACCACTCGGTGCACACACCCCAGCCACAGCTCTGGAGGAGGCGGGCAAATGCCACTGCCCCCTGGCACTCTGGGAGAGCAGAGCTGAGAAGGGGATACGAGTGCCACCCGGGGAAAGCCAGCCCAGCTACACGCCCCCACTACTACACCCCTCAGCCCGATGGAGCAAGGGTGAGCATCTCACGAGTGTGAACCACAGTCTGACCGCAGCCAGAATTTGCTGCTTTTTTTTAAAAGACAGGGTCTCACTAAGCTGCCTGAGCTCCCACATGCTGGGACTACAGGCACGTGTTACTGCGCCCAGCTCGAGTTCTGAGGGTGAGAAAATATTTTCAATGCATCTCTGGCGATGGATGTGCATTATTTCCCACCAAAGTTATCAGTGTGATTTTTTTTTTAAGGTTCTGAAGCCCTGCCCTCACTGAATGGGTAGGCTGTACCTCTGCACAGTCTCTGGACTACAAAATTTAAATGTCACAAGTACCCATTGGCTACTTCCCTGAATTCTGCTCTTTAACACGTTCCTGCCAGTGTGAACCACTGGTGGTACAAGCGTGACTGTCACATTGGGCAGCTTGTACGTCTGGTGGCAGAAGCGGGAGTCATGCGTGGGACAACCATGCATGTACCACTGGTGGTTCAAGCCACCCAGCAGTGAGACATGCAAATTACGGCCCCACTGTGAACGTGTTAAGGGTTCCCCTAACATTCAGACTCAGTAACTACAGTACATGTCGTGAAAAGCTAAGTCACTTCTTGAGAATAAAAATCATTCCCCAGCACTCATTTCACCAAAGGGCTTTGTATTTTCTTACACGGCCCACGGACATAGAACATGCAGGCTGTTCTGCTCCTGTTGTTACAACGCTATCTGCCTTTTTTTGTGTGTGTGTGGATGGAACCCAAGGTCCCACGCATGCTAGGCAAGTGCTCTACCACTGAGATATACCCCCAGCCCCATGCTATCTTGTTTTTAAAGCTTTTCGTACGTTCAGACTAAGTCTTGTAAACCACCACAAAATGCCAATTCCCCAAAGCCCTGCCCATATTTGTGGGCTACAACTGGTGCCAACCTATTAAGCTTCTAAACATTTAGAAAAATGAAAGCAAAGAAAACCAACAAACATACACACGTGCACGTGCACGCACGCACACTCACACACACACGCACTTTGGCACGTGAGCCTCAAGTTATTTGAGTGTGTTCATATTTCCCATCCCTCATCCCATCCTGGCGTTTCAGCCCCTGTCTCTGGAGAATGAAGACCCCTCCCACCTTGTGGAAAAGGTCATCACAAAGCATGTTGTCTTGAGTAGCAAAAGGAGCAGGGACAAATTCTAAACTGGCCCCAAAAACAGTTCTTGTGTTTAGCACTATAATTTATGTGATGCTGCAAAACTTTTGTACCAGGATGACTTATTTCAAAACTGCTGGTTGATTAAATATACATATACATATACATATAAAAATTACTAAGTCAACATTTGCTGTTTTCAATGTGAAAACGATAAAATGTAATTCTGAATAATTGTGCATTTGCCATAAGGTCCTCATTAAAGGGACCATAAAAATAATTTTGTAATTAAAAAAAACTCTTATTTTTAAGTTTAGTATTGCCCTCAAGTTCAAAAGTTTGGAGCAAAAGTACTGAGCATACAGGTTTGATATCTGTTCCTGCCAGGGATCTGGAAGCCTTAAATTTAGTGATCCCCCTGCAGGCCAGGAACCTGACAGCCACATATAGCCCTGCGAAGTTAATGGTGGAGGGCTCAACAGCGCCCACGGGACGAAGACCGACGAGGCCCACCGGGTCCCGCCTTGTTTCACTGGTGGCAGAGGCAGCTGCAGCTGGCCAGCTTCTTGCACAGAGCTCTGGGGGCACAGAGGTGCGGGGGCTCAGAGGTGCTGGGGCTCTGCCTTTTCTTGGGTTACTGGACAAACAGCGGGGGAGGGTAAGGGTCTGGGTGGGGACCACTGAGCACCAAGGCTGAGGGTGACCCAGGAGCTAACCTTCTGCTCGGCTGGAAGCAGGGCCGAGGAAGGAATGGGCATTTCCGCGATGCAGAAGTGAGCTGTGCAGGAAGGAAAAGTGCATTTAAGGTAGCCTGGAAACACAACGGCCGGACTGTCGCAGAGTCGGAGGAGGAAGACGGCCTCCGCCTGCTCCGCCGGCCGGCCGCTCTCCTTGGACTCTGGGTTAACATTCATGCTTTCCGATGCGAGTCTGCTCATGAAGAAACAGGAACACAATTCTCCTGGTTCTGGCAGGTGCACAACTCTCTTGGCAAAGCTCTCTGCTGCCAAGTTCAGTTTTATTTGGTTGGTGTTCTAGGCCGATGTCACCGGAATTCATAGATGGGAGCACTGTGTTCGGGAACATGGGTCAGGTTGAGGGACTGATACCTGCAGTGAGAGAAGAGACAGACTGGGAGGTTGCTGGCTGGTGCCTACTAAGCAAAGGGTGCTAGAGAATTCCCAAGCCAGAGCAGCCAGTAAATCACACTCAGACTGAAATGCTAATTCTTTTTTGGGGCGGAGGGTAAGGGAACGGGGTCTCACTATGTGCACAGACGGGCCTTAAGCTCCCAGGCTCAGCCGGGTGAGGTGGTGCACACCTGTAATCCCAGTAATTGGGAGGCCAAGGTGGGAGGACTGCTGCAAATTCAAGGCCAGCCTGAACTGTATAGTGAGAACCTGTTACAAACAAAAAATAAAGGAAGAGAAGAGAAGAGAAGAGAAGAGAAGAGAAGAGAAGAGAAGAGAAAAGAGAAGAGAAGAGAAGAGAAAACTCCTAGGCTCAAGCAGTCCTCTTGCCTCAGCCTTCCAAGTAGCTGGGATTAAGGATGTGTGCTACTCTGCCTCTCTGCTAATTCATTTTATACTTCTCCAGTGCACACAGTTTCATTTTTTTTTTCTTTTTCTTTTTTTGTTAATCTTCCTGAACCATAAATAAGATGAATTGTTTTTACATATTCTGTGCTATTCACGGAGCAACTATCGTATGTCTTATAGAAACAGGACTCTGATGAGCTCTGGGAGAAGATGCAGCCTGCAGCCTGCCACCCCCCCCACCCCCCTCCCCCGCTGCTCAGCCTCTCCCCTTGCAGTGCTCTGGCTGAATCTACAGAACACCAGGCTGCAGTGTCCTAAGAGCTTCATGGGTAACAGGAATATCCTAATTTCACAGCATCCGAAAAGAGGATGGGACAAGTAACTTCACCTCTCTCCCTAAACCTTATCCTGCAACTCATGTCCATGTTCGCACTTCCCAAGGTGTGGCATTAAGACTGCAGCACAAGAGAGAGATCTTAGTTTGCATTCCCCCAGCCAGCAGGTGCTCCAAGGAGTCACACAGGAGGGAGAGAAAGGTGGACAGTTCACACACGGGGATGACAGGCCCTGCAGATTCAGCCAGTGGCGGAAAAGGTTAGTTCTCCTTTATTTGTTTTACAAAGCAATGAGGAAGAACAAAGGAAAAGAAGTTTATTTCTTATTTTAAAAATAGGTTGGGGATATAGCTCAATGGTACAGCACTTGCCATATGGTATTGCGTGCCTGACAGCACTCCCCAAAAAAACATCATGAAAGGAATAAACATATGCATTGGCCATCAGGAATTTGCAGACTGAAACTACAACGAAATACTACTTCATGCCCTCTTGGGCAGCTACAACTATAAAGATATAATAACAAGTGTTGGGAGGATGTGGAGAAATTCAAACTCTCAAACACTGCTGTGAGAATATACAATGGTGCAGCCCCTGTGGAAGAGTGGCGGCTCCTCAGAATGTGAAACATAGAATCACCGTATGACCCAGCAACTTCACTTCTAGGTGTGGCTCTGAAGAACATGAAAGCAGGAACTAAGAAACTTGTACACCCATGCCTGTGGCGCGTTATTCACCAAAGCCAAAAGGTGGAAACTACCCAGGTGCCCATTAACTAATAAACAGGTAAATAACATGTTGTATACACATCAGTGGGAACTTACTTGGTAATAAAAGTGAAGTTCTGATATATATGATAACATGGATGAACCCTAAAAATATTATGTTAAGCCAAAGATGGCAGGGATAAAGGTCATATGTTGTATTATGCCATTTATACAAAATATCCGGAATAGGCAAATCTTTTTTTTTTTTCAGGCAAATCTATGTATGTTGCAAAAGAGGATTAGTGGTTACCTAAAACTGGGAGGAGAGGGGTAGGATGATGGTTAGAATGAGCTTTCCTCTTGTAGTGACAGAAATATTCTAGGCTGGGTGTATGAGTCAATGGTAGAGTGCTTGCCAAGCATGTGTAAGGCCTTGAGTTTGATTCTCGGCATTGCAAAAAAAAAAAAAAAAATCCAAAGTAAGTATTAACATTCTACAGACCACTGACATACACTTTAAATGAGTGAATTGTATGGAATGCAACAATATCTCGATAAAATTGCCATTTAATAAAAAGGATTATGAAAATTATAAAAATTCACTTGAAAACAGAACAATTATTCAGTTTACTACTGTATTATGGCTATAGGGTTGGGTCTCCCCAAGTCATCAAAGAATGAAAAATTTGAAAGGAAATAAAGTGTTTCTACCTTCAGATAGGAAATCAGGTGTTTTATGACATGGTTCCCGCCCAGGTACAGCAAATTGCTTAAATAAGCACCAAGGAGGCCAGCAAAAGGCGGCAATCTGTAAGCACTTAAGGTTGCCTCCTGTCTTTTACTGGGGATAAACACTGGGCAGGACTGTCCACATGGCCCCAGCATCTGACTACAGTTAGGTACACATGGGATGAGTGTTGCCTGCTAACAGCAAAATTCACACGGTCCCCTACAGGATTAAATTATATTTTAGTGACTGATTAAATTTAGGGGGAATGAATGCAGAATGAGTAATATGGAGATAAGCTTTACTGAAAGTACTGGACTGCTTGTGAATATTTATAGGAGTACTCAGGGGTAAAAAGTTTGCCTAGCAGGGGTACCAGGCCCTAAGTAGTTCCACCCCTAGAACTACCAAAAAAATAAAATTAAATTAATAAAAAGAAGAAAGAAGAAAGAAAAAAGGAGGATGAAGAGTAGGAAAAGGAGAAGAAGAGAAGGATGAGGAGGAGGAGGAGGAGGAGGGGGAAGAGCAGGAGGAAGGGGAAGAGGAGGAGGAGGGGGAAGAGGAGGAGAAGGAGGAGCAGAAGGAACAGAAGGAGGAGGAGGAGGAGGAGAATGCTTTACCCAATACTTCATTTACTCTGCTCTATAGATAGGAATGAGCCCCTATTCTGAGCAAATGAGGTGATTTACATAGGGTCTCACCACCCAAATAAAACCAGAAACTCTGCAGAGGAAGGCTAAGAGGTTTTTTTGGGTTTGACTGGCTAAATGAAAGCCAGAGGGGCAGCCAGCCTCAGCTACAGACCCTGGCCGCTGGAGTCCTTACCATTCTGAACTCCGATGGTAGTAGTAGCCCTCTATGGAAGCAGCTGACTTTTGAAAGCAGATGTAATAGAAGCCAGCAAAGGAAGCACCGCTGATGTCTTTGATCGTGTGATCTGGAACCAGGAACTGCTCCTGCGCACATAAGGGATTGGTCAGGAACACATCTGTTCTTGGAACACACCCGGGGCCTCCCTGGTAAGCATCAGGAGAGTCTAAGGGCCACTTGAGAAAAAAATATATATAACCACATGGTCTTATCCAGACTTGCGGGGCAGCAGTGATCCTCTGGGTATCAGCCTGACGTTCAGATAGCACCCATGTGATATGGAAGCATTCTACAAATTAAAGTGGCACACTGTTACGAGCTAACCAGGACCAGCAACTCAGAGAAGCCACTCTCCCAAGCATCTAATATGTAAGCCAATACTTGCCTACTTGCCCATCTACCTTTCAGAGACTACACACAGAACGACCTAGGAAGAGTAAGTTTCTGCACCAGTTCCCAGAGGCTACTACTGAACTCTTGATTCCCTCTAGGAGAGCAAACCCCTTCTACTGGTCTGTGGACTGTCCTATGGGATGCCCAATTGCCAGGATCCCCAAGACACCCCCTCCAAAAGCTCTACACCTCCTCAAAGCAATCAGAATGGTTGCTTTGCCAGGTATGGCAGGCAGAGTGGCAAATTCTCCACCAGAGCTGGCACTAAGCATTACAGGCAGTATATTTGCTCCTATTCTCTGGAGAGACGAGATCAGAAGCCTTAGGGCCTCAGGAGATCAATCAAAGGGCCACCTGAGATACCCTGAGAAATGCTCTGGAGACAGACAACTTCACTGCTTTTTTTCTAATGGTACTGAGGGGCAAACCTAAGGCACTGAGCATGCTAGGCAAATGGTCTACCACTAAGCTACACCCATGGCCCCCAAAACTGTTTTTTAAATCACTTCTCTTCCCCTTATTTAACCTCAAAAATTATAGTTTTAAATTAAATTTAATTTAGAGCTGGTGGTGTGGCTAAGTGATACAGCTCTTGTTTGCCTACTATGTGTAAGATCCTGGGTTTGATCTTCAACACTGGAAAAAAATTAATTAAAAAAACAGAACAAGATACTTCCTTTAAACCGGGTATGGTGGCACATGCCTCTAACCCCAGAACTGGGAGGCTGAGGCAGAAGGATCCTTGCAAGTTTGAGACCGGCATGGGCTACAACATGAGCTCAAGGCCAGCCTGAACTGACATGAGCTCAAGGCCAGCCTGAACTGCACAGCGAGACCCTGCCTCAAAAAGACAAAACCAAAGCAAAACTTGGGGCTGGGGATGTAGCTCAGCAGCACAAGCACCTGCCTGGCAAGCACACGGTCCTGAGTACGATTCCTGATACCAAAAAGAAAAAAGACAACAAAAAAAAAAGATTAAAAAACAAAAAAACTTCCTTTAAAGGTTTAGTTGGCATGCTTTCCATAGGAGGCAAGGTGAGAGGATAAGGCACCTGGCAAGGGTATCCTGAAGAAGGGATGATCCTGACCCCTAAGTAATGAGCTATACAAAGGAAAAGATGGGGAATGACTGCTCTAGATGATTTGTCTTAATGAAAGCAGGCACGATTTCATGCTAAAACCGATTTTTTCCTACTGATTGGGCACTGTGGTTTGAAGGTGGGTGAAAGTTCACTTGAGAAATCCATTCCATGATTTGCTATCCTGTAGTTATGAACACCATGCTATCAGAGCAGGGAGCTCAAAGGGCTCCTCAGGCAAAGGCCAAGCCATGGAGTTCTCTGAGGGCTGGTGAGGGGAAGAACCACATTCCATTCCTGATCCTTCATTTCCTGAGCTAGGGGAAGCAGAAGGCCCTGGAGAAAGGATGTGGTAGAGAAGACCAGTCATTCTGATGGCATTTCAGCCTGTACTGGGAATAGGGTGCAGTGGGTGACTAAGTTCAGAGAAAGTTGTCCAGAACCCACTTAACATGTGGATGATTCGTGGCTGGGTGTGGCGGCACATGCCTGTAATCCCAGCATTTGGAAAGCTGAGGCAGGAGGATCACTGGGAGTTCAAGGCCAGCCTGAGCTACAAAGTGAGTTCAAGGCCAGCCTGAACCGCATACAGAAACCCTGATTCAAAAAGATCAAAAACAAAAACAAAAACAAAAACAAAAAACCCCAGCCAACCAACCAACCAACCAACCAACCAAAAACCACACAAAAAAAGCCAGGTATGATGGCGCACTCCTGTAATCCTAGCACTTGGGAGGCAGATGGAAGAGGACTGCTACGAGTTCAAGTCCAGCCTGGGCAACATAGTGAGATCAAGGCCATCCTGAACTATATAGCAAGACCCTGTCTCAAAAACAAAAAACAAAAAAAAAAACTAAAAATAAAAAACAAACCCAAAAAACCATTTGGATGATTCAATATGGAGGTTCAAAGGGACTCGGGTGGAAGCGGACGGGGGAAAGACGCAAACAACACTTTCACGGTGCGCACGTGGGCACAGCTTCACCTGCTGACCACAGGGCAGCGTAAGCAGACAAGCCAGCTGGGACTCTGGAGCTACGCCTGCTCTGAACAGGTGTGCAGAGATCCTGCCATGAGGCTGCACTGTGACAAACAGGGGACACAGGGAGCCCAGGCTGGGAGGTGTACAGATGTGCAGGGTGCATTACAGGAGTCGGCATGTGGGAGTCTCAAAGACGGCCTGGGCAGACCTTACCTTCCACCTCATGAAGACATAATCCCCGTTCTTCAGCTCTTCATAATCAAAGTCATCTGAATTAAATGATTTTGCATACTGGTAAAAAGCCAGGAACTTGCCCTAAAAGGGAAATACAGAGTAGGAGAACTGATCAACTGAGGGAGTGACTGGAGTCAGAATTCATGGCTCCTAACAGGAGCAGCAGTTGCTGAGTGGATGCAGACCTGCATCTGAGGTGTGTGACAGGACTCAGGCGGAGGCACCTCTGAACCATGCCTGTCCAGTGAACAGAACGCAGAAATAGGCCAAAAGGTAGGAACAGATGCAATCCCATGGCCCTTTCACTACACACCTCACTACAAACTCATGAAAGCCAAGAATAATGAGAAGAGCTCGGTAAGGAGCAAAAAGAGCCACGGAGAACCACATAGAAAGAACCTGTCTAGACGCAGAGGAAAGGGACTTGTAAAGCTTGTTTTCTGGTATAGTAAGGGGTTTGGGCCAGCTACTTGGGTAGAAGTAGGTAATATACAGCTAAGTTAAAGGAGACTTGTGCCAGGTATGACTGTACACACCTGTAATCCCAGCACGTGGAAGGCTGAAGCAAAGAGTTAGGGGCCAGCCTGCGCTACACAGTGAGTTCAAAGCCAGTCTGAACCACAGAGTGAGATGAGACCCTGTCTCAAAAAACCAAGAAGCAGACTAGAAGCTGAGCATGGTGGTATGTACCTGTAGTTCCAGATACACAGAACGCTGAAAAAGTAGAATCACTTGAGCCCAGGGAGATTGAGGTCAGTTAGTTTGTGCAACATAGGAAGACCTCATTTAGAAACGAAACAAAAAACCCAACAGAAATAGGCTACAAAACTGCATCTTATGATCCCATTTTTGTACAAAGACAAAAGAAAGTATATGGCTAGCCCTCAATATCTGCAGAAAATTGATTTCAGGATCCTTCACATAAAATGGTATTTGCATTTAATCTACACATATCCTCCCATATATTTTAAATCATCTTTAGATTACCTATAATATCTAACGTAATATAAATGCTATGTATATAAGTTGTTATACTGTATTATTTAGGAAATAATGACCAAAAAAAAGGGCATACATCAGGGTGTGGTGGCACATGCCTATAATCCCAGCGCTCTGGTAGGCTGAGGCAGGAGGTCTGCAAGTTTGAGCCCAGCCTGAGCAACTCAGTGACTTGGCAAGACCTTCTCTCAAAAATTAAAAGTAAAATATAGGCTGGGGATATAGCTTAGGACAATGACCCCTTGGTTCAATCCCTAGTACCACCCCCTAAACCCCCCACAAAAAAAGTCTCTCTATATATTTAATACAGATGCCAATTTTCCCCCAAATACTTTTGATTTGTGGTTGGCTGAATTCATGAATTCAGAAACCACACATACAGAGGGCCAACTATATATAACTAAGAGAGATTCCGGAAAAGGTTGATAATGGTTTTAGCTTTAAGACATTATCATTTTACACTATTTTTCCCCTCTAGTTTTTTCTGTCATTTCACATAGTTTTAAATAAGCATGTATTAATTTTATTAAAAAACAAAAAATAGTGATGGAAGTTTAAGGTGGTGGATATATTAATTATCCTGAGTTAATCATTACCCAATGCATACATGAGCCAAAATGTCACACTGGGGTTGGGGTGTAGCTCAGTGGTAGAGCTTTTGCCTAGCATGTATGAGACCCTGGGTCCCAACCCCAACACCACACACACATGCACACACATACACACACAAAACATCGAACCTCATGAATATGTATAAACATTTGGTTTCAGTCAAAATATTAAAATTAATTCATCTTTAAAAATCAGGCCCTTGGTTCAATTCACCACACATACACATAAAATCAAGATATATACATATATTGGGGGGGTGCTTTTGAGACCAGGTCTCACCATGCAGTTCAAGTTGCTGATTATTTCTCCTTCAAAGGAGGTCGTAAGGGTTGGTTAGGCCTATGGTAATAAGCAAATATCAAAATGAGATGTTGAACAACAGTCCTTTTGGGAGTGTATGTCTGTGTGTTTGTGCACTTACGTGCAACACTTGGGATGGAATTCAGGGCCTCCTACATACTAAGTAATTGCTGTACCACTAACCAGCTCACTTTAACCTTTTCAAAAGGAAGAATCAAGCAGTGAATGACAGTGAGCCTATTTTTTCACCCATGTTCAGGCTAGGTCCAAACTTGCAGCTATCCTTCTGCCTCAGCCTTCCAAGTGCTGTGATTACAGGCTTGCGCCACCATGCCTGGCTAAGATATAGAGATATTAACTCACAAATTTTACACACATGTATTCTAAATAGACTACATATAAAGAATCTTGATTTTATAGTACCACCATGATTCCAACTTTAAATATCACTCAAGAAAATTTGAGGGTGTAATGCCATGTCTCTGATTCTAGTTTACAATGGAAAATGATACCAGAGGTGAAGACTGTCACACAGTCTGAGCCTCAATCAAATGGCGTGCAGTATGGAGCTCCAGGAGTCCCACACAGGGATCTGGGTCTCCTCCATGAGTTGAGACAGTCATGGGAAATGCTGAGGTCTGAACAGCAGCTCGAAGTGCTGGAGAGGGAAACGTCCTCGGGGCCAGCTCCCTCACCCTCTCACCCTCCACTTGGCATGCTGAGCTCACAGGCAGCACCTTCATCCTTCTTTGTTTTTCTTTAAAGCACTGTAGTACAGGCTGGCCTTAAGCTCACTATGTAGCCCAGGCCGGCCTGGGCCTCCTGAGCACTGGGATTACAGGCGTGCACCACCACTCCCTCATCCCTCTTGCATCCCAAGCATTTCAATCCAGTCTAATGAAGGCCAGAGTCCCGATATCGTCCAGTGCTCTATGGGAAGCCAGCGGGAAAATTAGGAGATGATGCCTCCAGGTATTAATCTGCAGGTATCCTTGCCTAACACCAACTTGTCATTTGGCCTCACAGGCTTTGTCTTTTGCAGGGTCAACTTGACGTGGCAAACAAAGCTGCATGGTTCACTATGAAGAAGAATTTTACACCAGCGTTGCCCAGGACAGGAAGGAGCCACTTGATGCAGCACATGTGGTGGGGGCAGGGGTGAGCACCAGGAGCCTTCTGACTGATTCCGACACTGTCAGGAGCCACTGGGCCGCCCCAACCTTTTGCTACTTGATCTCGTTTATTCTCTTGTATTATGAAGACACACGAATGACTGTCTACATTTTGGTGTATATTTGCTGTTACAGATAAAAAAAATGTTTTTAAAAGCTCAAATTTATTTTTTTAATTTTTATTTTTGGTACTGGGAATTGAACTCATGCCCTCACGCTTGCCAGGCAGGCGCTGTGCTGCTGAGCTATATCTCTGGCCCTAAAAGCTCAAATTTAAATTTAACTGAAAGGGGCTGGGGATTTAGCTCAGCGGCACAGTGCCTGCCTGGCAAGCGCAAGGTCGTGAGTTTGATTCCCAGTACTGGGAAAAAAAAAAAAAAAAAAACAAAAAAAAATAAATAAATAAATAAATTTAACTGAAACTCAGTATTTTCAAAACATTAACAAGCACAGCAACAATCCATAGCCAAGCTGACTCAGACAAGTGTCTGCAGCAGGAGCTCTCACACAGACCGTGGTGCTGGAATCCTGAGGGTTTAGAAAGCCTAGCACAAGGGGTAACAGGAACGATGAGCTCCTAAACCTTCATGGACACAGCTGCTTTAGAGAGATGCGGCACTTCTCTATGCTGAACAAAAATTCACTGTCACCATGGTCAGCTAAGCCAAAAGCTGCTATGTTAGGTTGAGAAATAGATTTCTAAAGACATAAGAAGCAGGGTGTGATGGTGCATGCCTGTAATCCCAGCACTCGGGAGGCTGAGGCGGGAGGATCATTGTGAGTTCGAGACTGGCCTGGACTATAAAGTGAGCTCCAGGTCAGTCTGAACTGCAGAGTGAGACCCTGTCTCAAAAAAGACAAAAACAAAACAAATAAAGACATGACTTGGGTGACAATCAAGGAAAAGACCCCAGGACAGTAACTCTTAAGTTGTCTTGAAGTATTCACTACTAAGAAATGAGAATACTCCATTCTTGACAGCTGAAAAGAGGGGCACCCGGAGTTTGCAGTGGTTTCTAGATGGTACTGTGATAGGCAGAAAAGAGGTGACTCAGGTCCTGCCCGCCTTGGGTCTCTGTGAGCAGTATTTCCATTTAAGGCCAATCCACGTTCAGGGCATGAGTTTCCCGAGCAGAGGTGACTAGGAAGGGACAGTGGACAGACAAACGGGAAGGGTGGGACACTGCTAAGATTCTGAAAGCCACGCAAGTTGTGAGTGGAACTCAGGGAGCTGCTATCACTAGGTAGCTACCTGCTACTTAGAAGGAGGGTCAGGAAACCTGTGAACTCACTTCAGAAGGAAGACATAAACTGGGCGTGGCGGCACACACCTATAATCCCAGCACTTGGGAAAGTGAGGCAGGAAGATGGCCACAAGTTCAGGGCCACCCTGGGCTATACAGTGAGTCCAAGGCCAGCCTGAACTACAAAGCAAAACCCTGTCTCAAAAAAACCAAAACAAAACAGAAGACAGAGCAATGGAGGTTTACGTGTAGGAAATAACCTCCCTTTGGCTGCAGAGTCCTGAATAACACCCAGTAGGGACGAAGCCCCTGGTTCTTGCACTTCTCGGTTCCCCAGAAGTCCTGGATACCCACAGCATGGCGGACCCCACTCACCCAGTGCTTCCGGTCAACATCTTCATCTGCATCCCACTTGCGAGTTAAAAAAGGGTGCTTTTTGCTGATTATTTCTCCTTCAAAGAAGGTCGTAAGGGTTGGATACTCCTATGGTAAAAAGCAAACATCAACATGAGATGTTGAGCAACAGTCTTCTTGGGAGTGTGTGCCTGTGTGTGTGTTCGTGCACTTACGTGCAACACTTGGGATGGAATTCAGGGCCTCCTGCATACTAAGTAATTGCTGTACCACTAACCAGCTCACTTTAACCTTTTCAAAAGGAAGAATCAAGCTTACTTTAACTTCTCCCTAAGACTCTGAGACAAAGCCGATCACACCGCTAACAGTCCAAACCAGAGTCAGACCCAGGCTGTGGAAATAAATCTGAATTTAGATTGTTTGGATAATGGAAAGTCTCTTCAACTCTGAGGACTCTGCCAGAGCAGAGAACCCTTCTTTGGTCTAAGCTGGTTTCTCAAAAGCAATCTGGATGATTTCAACCACCAGTGAACTCTACATATTCTAGCATACAAAGCAAATCACAACCTAGGGGCTGGGGATTTAGCTCAGAGGCACAGCGCCTGCCTGGCAAGCGCAACATTGTGAGTTTGATTCCTGATACCGGAAAAAACCAAAAAGCCAAAACAAAAACAAAAACAAAAAACAATTCACAACCTAGTAGACTGTACTTTCTAAGGAGAACATCCAATGATACCCTAAAACCACAATGTTGACAGCCAAGTCTCCCTCAAAACTCACACCAGCTCACAGGCTTTCAAACTATAGCCCCTTTATATCTGTCCCTTTTATACCAAATCTTGAAGTTTCCAGGGTTGGAAAAAAAATTGGTGGGGAGTGTAGAAATACTTTGCATGTACTACTGACACATTTAATTCTATTCTATGAATTATGAACAATTTATGTGAGAGAAATATGTAAATCATGTCTGCAATGTAAAATCTCAACCGTTAAAATATATATATGCTGCTTTTAAAAAAAAGCTGTTATTTGCTGCTTGGAATGCTACTAACTTTATTTGCTATTTGTTCATGTGCCAATAAACAGTACCAAAGATTTAGAGAAAAATTAATGGGAGAAAAACTTAACACCATTAAAAAGTCTACCTTTGCCAGGTGTAGTGGTGCATGCCTGTAATTACCAGCACTTGGGAGGCTGAGGCAGGAGGATCACTGCGAGTTCAAGGCCAGCTTATTCTACATAGTGAGTTCAGGCCAGCCTGAACTACATAGTGAGAGCTTGTCTCAAAAAAAACCCAACCAAACAAACAAGCAAAACAAAACAAAACAAAACAAAACAAAACAAGTCTACCTTTTATTTGCATATTTAGTCAAAACCAACCAACCAACCAAATGATCCCTCACTTGCCCAAGGCCTTGGGTTTTTCAAGAACATGGTACCAGTGACCGGCCTAAAACACTAAGAAAACACTAAGTGCACAGGACTACAGAGGTCCTACTTTCTCCTCTAGACTCTGTGTAACCACCTTTCCCCTCCCTGCCCCTAGAATTGGGGATGGAAGCCATGGGTGCTCTACCACGGAGCTACAACTCCAGCCCTTTTTATATTTTAATTTGAGACAGACTCTGAGTTGCCTAGGCTGGCTTCAAACTTCTGATCCTCCTGCCTCAACCTCTGGAGTAGCTAAGATTGTAAATCCTGGGGATGGTACTCAGGGTCTTACAGATGTTAGGCAAGTACACTGCCACTGAGCCGTTATCCTCAGTCCAACGTAAGCACATCATACTTTGCATCAAACATTTAAAACAGACCCATCCTGATGGCTCTGCCCCTGCTCCCAGTTTGGCCTGCACATGGCTCAGGACTTTCCTGAGAGGTACTGCCTCAGTATCCTCTGGCTCAGGGCTCTCGGAAACAAAACCCTGCCACCAAGACTGAGGTAACTAAAGAGGCCTACTTTTTTTCTTTTTAAAATCTATATATGCTTAGTATTGACATTTTTTTCTTTCTTTTCTTTTCTTTTCTTTTTTTTTGCAGTACTAGGGATTAAACCCAGGGCCTTCTCACTGAGCTACACTCTCAGTCGTGTATGTATGTAAGTATTACTTATTTGAGATAGGATAGTCACTAAGTTGCTAAATTTCCCAGGCTGGGCTTGAACGTTCAGTCTTCTCGCTTCAGCCTCCCAGAGTTCTGGGTAGGTGTGTGCCATCATGCTTGGCAAAAAGCCTGCTTTATATCACCGCCTCTGAGCTCTACCTCCAACCCCTTGTTTTGTTAACGATGAACTTCAAAATATAATGAATGTAATACTCCTCGAACCAACAACCCCCCTTAGCTTAACGGCACTGCTAGATCTGCATAAAGATGTTTATATATACAGAGTGAAAAAAAATAAGAAAAACCTCTTTGAAACCTAATTTTTAAGTCATAAGCTAAATTATACTAATCTGTATTTAGGAAGGATACTCAGAGAAAGTTTTATGAAAGCCAGTATCTGACTTGAAATTTTAAACTAGAAGCTATGTACATTGTTTTCCTGAGTTTTGAGTTTTAATCATTTTTCAGAACTCCTGCCAAAGGGATAGAAGAACAAAGTTGTCCTAATACAACTGGAATACTCACGGTTTAAACCACTAGCTTTCGGGGCTGGGGATTTAGCTCAGCGGCAAAGCGCTTGCCTGGCAAGCGCAAGGTCATGAGTTCGGTTCCCGGTCCGGAGAAAAACCAAAAACTAAACCACTAGCTTTCCCAAGGAATGATTCTGCACTGCCTTCTCTCCAAAGTATTTTAGGCAGTATATCTGGGTGACCAGAAGGTACCTCACACTCCTAGAATTAATAAAATAAATGCCTAAGGGGCTGGGGATTTAGCTCAGTGGCACAGTGCCTGCCTGGCAAGCGCGAGGTCGTGAGTTTGATTCCCAGTACTGGGAAAAAACCAAAATAAATAAATAAATAAATTAAATTAAATTAAATAAATGCCTAGTGAATAAGGTTCCGTATGTACAGAAATCACCAAGATAAAATACTTCTCAGGGCTGGCACAAGAAACTCAAGCCCTTGATTACAGCACAGTTAAGTTGGAGATAATTACATGGCAGCAGAAGGAAAGATATTAGAAAAATGAGCCAGAGGGGCAGAGTTCTAGCCAGCCAGCACTCCCCACCCTTGATGCTCACTGTCCCCGGGGAACACTGGCTTCAGCCACTGAAGTCATCAACGAGTTCCTCTCACTGACTCCAGGCTCACCCCGAACTGTCCAGTGAAGGCTACCTTGGCTTTTCATGCAGACCTGTCTTCTGAGAAGTGCACATCCATGTGGCCAGGAAGTCAGTGGGAACTTCTGGAATAGGCACTAACCTTATTCTGAGAGTGAACACGCACATCTGTTCATATGTCGGTCCCTTGTGAGTTTGGCTACGGTGACCTGTCTCCCTGTTTTCAAACAAATCTAGCACAACTTTACGGAGCTTTAAGTCCACCCGAGGACTCAGTGCAGCGCTCGACCGTGAGTCCCCAAGGCTGGGCTCCCAGATACCAGCCAACCGCGGAGCTCCTGAGAAAGGACCCCTCTGCCAGCCCAGAAATACAGCACAAAGAGAGTGCTATTTAACACCTATTTCTTATAGCTCTGGAATTTCATGCTTAAAAGCACACAGACTTTAAAGCTGTGCTTTGTGAATGTGAGGCAAGTTATCTCCAGCTTCATCTCTAACAGTCCACATTGAACTCGTGAGGATGACAACTATTTGACTAAAGCCCAAACCACTTGCACAGTTTAATTAAAATAGATTACACGTTTGCTATTTTAACAGTTCTGAGAAAGCAAAGACAAATCACACAGGTATAAAATTCATTCAAAGATTCATAATGGTTTTGTGCACTTTACTATCTACAAGAACCATACGCTAGATATATGATTTTAAATCACATCGAATAGTTGTACGACTCTGTGGATACACCAAGAACGAATGAATTATACTATTTATTTATTTGTATTTGGTGTTGGAGATGGAACCCAAGGCCTCTCGCTTGCTAGGCAAGTGCTTTGCCACTGAGCTACATTCCCCCCACCCATACTTTAAATGGGTGAATCATATTGATCTCTATCTCAATAAAGCTCCTTTATTTAAAATAAAGAATTCTAATTATTTCGAGACCTGGGCAGGACTTAGGGATCCCAGGAAACACTGAGCTTTAACTAAATGCCTGGCAGCAGCATCCCTGAGCCCATGTTGGCCTGCGGTGGACACCTCTGGGGAGGACATGTGTCCACAAAGGCCACTCTACCTGCAGCCCACGAATAGGACAGGAGCACGAGTCTCCACGGTTTTGTGAGGAGCCCAGGACTCCCGCAGGCTAGCCCCTCCTCAAGGAAGCCCCATTGCTATCATACCTCAGCGGGGGTTCCCTTAGTAAGGGCAACCTGTTCCCAATCATTGGCATTTCTGCACACCGTTTCAAGATTTCTAATGCTACTTGCCATTTCTGCGCAGCTTCCTACAACCCAAATGACAGGCTTTGGAGTCAGTGTTAGCATTCCAATGCGTTACACGTTTTGCTGGTTTCCTTAAGAAGTTAAATGTTTATACTCTGCACTCCATTAACAAATGCATTTGGATGCCTTAAAAGTCGAGCATATTATGCTTTACTATGTTTTCTCCTACAACAAACCCAAAGGTTAGAACCCTTTATTTTTGCTATCATTTTCTATCCTTACCTGACTGGATATGTCTCTACAGGTGAAGATAATTTCTGTCTCAACAATGATGTTCACAGGAACCCTCACTCTAGCTTCTAATACAGAAAAGTAGGAGGGCAGGGGGCATGGTTCGGGGGTACAGCACTTGCCTAGCATGGACAAGACCCTGGCTCTTTTTATCATCATCATCATCATCATCATCATCATCACCATCATTATTTTTATTTTGAGACAAGGTCTAAGTGGCCCATGCTAGCTTTGAACTTGTGATCCTCCTGCCTCAGCCTCTTGAGTAGCTGGGATTACAGACATGTGCCATCACAACTAGCCACAGCATATTTTTAATTCTCATTTTACAGACGAGGAAACTGAAATGAAGAGAAATTAAAGGGCACAGAACTGACCTAAATGTGTCTTGGCTCCATCGAGCATAGCCCAATCTGACTGGGGTCATTAAGAATATCGGCAGTGATAAAAGGCCACAGGATGCTGCAGCAGAGTCACACCCAGGGCAGAGCTGAGGCCAGTTCAGTCCCCTCCCGCCTCTTCCTGTTTACCACCAATGAAACAGGGATGCTCCCTTTTGCTTTCTAAATCTCAGGAGTTCAGAGATCTGAAGAGCTGGGTCCAAGGTAGGAAAATCCTCTTACACACACCACCAAGTTGGAAACCAGTCATTTTTCACTGTTCTGATGAACTACGGGGTGTAACGAACTTCTTATATAATTGATGCTTATCTCAGTCTGTTATCTTAGGGTAAGTGAGGAGGCCATATTGTTTTTTTTTTTCGTCTTTTTGAGACAGGGTCTTGCTATGCAGTTCAGACTGGCTTTGAGCTCACTGCTGGTCTAAAACTAGCAACGATCCTCCTGCCTCAGCTTCCCAGAGTGCTGGGATTACAGGCATGCACCACCATGCCCGGCTCGAGGAGACCATATTCTTACCTACATTTTTTATCTCACAAGAGGGTTAACATCCAAGCCAATAGTATTGGTCACACTGTGACATATTGATACTTCTTTTTAGATTTGTGAAGGGGAAAGGTGTAGCTCAGTGGCAGAATGCATGCTTAGCACGCATGAGGCCCTAGGTTCCATCCACAAAAATCTTTGTGCCTGTGCTACCTGCAAAGAGAGGACACATCAAAACTGCAAGATTTATCCTTCCGACATAACAATGCTTAAAACATCATGGAATTGCCTGTCCTCAACTCTATAGGACTGCGGCGTGGACCACCTGCTTCCTGGTTCAGGCTTACGTGATGTGTGCTTACCTCAGTAAGGCCTTTAATCTTCAGGTACCCACAAAGGTAAGAGTTCCCCGTGTCCACGTGCTGAAAAGAAGACACACAAACTGTTACACGTGGATGAGCTCACTGGGGGTACTGTGGAAATCCTGCAAGGCCAGGCTGGGTCAGGAGGGCTCAGCCCAAGGTTCTCTCAGCCTCGGGCCTTCACAGGTCCTCCTTGTACACAGCCTGCTCCGATGATGCAGACTATCCCAGGACCCTCAACTGCTTTCACCTGTGTAGTCTGACGCCGACGTTCCTTTCTGGAACAGTGAGCCCACTCAAACCTCACTTTTTGTACTGTCTTCTACACACATCTCCCACTCATCTGTAGACTGTGTGCACTGTTGGACACGAGGTCTCTCCTCCACCTGCACACACGGTGATATCCCTCACCCCAGGGTTGATTTTCTTATTAACACGTTTCTAGGCCACTTCTGTTTTCCTGCTATTCAATCACTGGTCTAAGAACCTAATGCCCTCTTATTTATACTACACAGCGTCACGCACGGTCTTTGTGAAATGAGCACAATATTCAAGAACAGCATTTTATGAAGACTTATGTGGTACAAATTTTACTCATGAACTAAAATACCAACCAAAACTCTGACTACATTGTGAAATGTCTGCTCCGTCCACTTCATGTACAGACGCTTGTATTTTTTAGTGAAGAGTCAGGAGCTGAAAATAGGAATAACAGGCACAGTAGATTTTGAGGTTTAGCAGCCACCAATTATTGGTTGCCAAGGCACTGCCGATGCCTACAACCAATGTCCTCTTTTTCCACACTGGTAGGGCTGGATTTTCTTCTGGCACCTACCCTGTCGTGTAAGATGTGGTCAACTTTGATGCATTTCAGGCAAGCACAGACCTCCAATTCCTTGGGAGTCATTGGTTTAGAGGGGAGTGACCCAGTTCTGGCCAATGAGGTATGTGTGTGAATCTCCTGGGTGTTCCAGGGACGGATCTCTGGTGTTTGAAGAGGCACAAAAAGAAAAAATGGCCCTTTTCCTTCCTCTGGCAGTGGGCAGTATCTGCATGTAGTATCCAGTCCCAAGTCAGCTATCAGAAAATCAGGAGAAATAGGCAAGGAAATGCTAAGAATGGCAGGCCAGAAAGATGGAAGGAAGTGGGACCCTCACAGGCCCCTTAACTACCAACCTAGAACCACTTCACCTTTAGACTCCTTGTAATATGAGGTGATAGGTACGATTACTTTGTAAGCTATTTTGAAATGTAAAATATGGTTCCTTACAGATGAAACCATAGTCACTAGTACCTGTCCCCCAAATCTATAGACATCCTGCATAGGCAGTTTCCAAGTCCATGATCTGAAGTGAATTCATGTCATGAACTCAGAAACTCTGTCTACTAACCTATGAACTAAAGCCAAAAAAAAAAAAAAAAAAAATTCAGTGGTACCTGCAGCACACAGATTTTTTATGTTAAGTGAGGTCTCATTTCAGGAAACTAGAAAGGTTTTGCGGCATTTATTAGATTTGGAAACTCAACTACTCCAGTTACACCATAAATCAAATACTAAGGCAGTGCTTAAAAGCTGTAATGAACTTAGTCAGCCAGATGATGTCAGCACCAAAGAAATCTGGCTTCCATGAAGCTAAAGCTTGGTGCTAGTGACGAGGGTATTCCATGCAAAAACTGCCAAAGTATTTTAGATGTCCTCATCTGCTGACCTTGGCATCGGACATTATGGAAAACAGCTGATCCACACTAACATGGCTCAGCAAAGAACTTTTATTAAAGGACACATAGTTCTAACCTGAGGCCTTAAATTTCATGTATGCAATTCTCATTGAATTCAATGAAGTTTGGGGTTTCACAGTTCCCAGAAAGGGTATCAGATAGCAGGCATACTTGCTAATAAGATTAAAAATTGAACTGTAAATTGGCTTGAATTTGCATGGATTATCACATACTCAAGAATCAGAATTTCTGTTTGGCCTATGTTCAACCATCTCTTACATCCTGCCCAAACTGATCTTGATGTTAGCTGAACTCAAATTACCCGGCATTGCACACAGCTTTAAGCAAACGAGGGGCCAGCATCTCAATGAGAGAGATAGGGCAAACGTTTTAGCAAGAGGTCTCACAGCACAGCTGTGTCCAACAGCTGCTCTTTTTAATATTCCTTTCACAGGGACCCAGGCATCACTCTGCTGGTGGGTTCTAGGGTGGTAGAAGGGGAAGGAGAAGTCAAAGTAACAGGGTTGGGGGGGAGGCCCAGTCAAAACCCCACAAAGGTTTGAGAAATTCTTTACACCTAAATCTCAAAGCAGAAAGTGTCAAAAAGCACATGAAAATATGCACATCAAGAAAAGATGCACCAGGGAAATTCAAATTAGCAACTACAATAAGATACTACTTCACACCCACCAAAATGGCTACGAACAAAAGATGAACCACAGCAAGTGCTCGCAAGAATATGGAAAAGTTGGAACCCTGATATGTTGCTGGTGGAAATGTAAAATGAAGCAATCACTTTAGAAATCACTGGTAGTCGAGTGATATGTTGAACACAGAGTTATCATATAACCCAGCAATTCTATTATCTGTCTTCCCATGAAAAGTGAAAGCGCATATCCACGTAAAAACCTGCATATAAGCTGGGCATTGTATGTGCCTGGAGTCCCAGCATTCAGGAGGCCGAGGTAGGCATAAGCCCATGTGTTCAAGGTCAGCCTCAGCAATGCAAAAAGACCCCATCTTAAAAAAACACACAAATGTTCACAGTATTACTCATAATAGCCAAAATGTGGCAAAAAAGCCCAAATGTCCATAAACTGATCAAAGTGCTGTATATCCAGACAATGCAACGATAAAAAGGAATGATATAGATAAATCTTGAAAACACTATGCTTATTCAAAGAAGCCAGTCACAAAAGGTCAAGTACTATATGCTTTTATTTACATAAAATAGCCAGATTGGGGAAATTATTTTAAAAAAGAAAAAATAGTAGTAGTTGTCTAGGATTGGAGGTGGGTGACAGCTACAGGATATTAAAGTTTCTTTTGGGGGTGATCAAAATGTTCTAAAATTGGGTTACGGTGATGCCAACTCTACGAATACAATACAAACTACTGACGTATGCACCTTGAACAGGTATACTCTGGGAGACTGAGGCAGGACAGAAAGTTGGGCAATTTACTAACTTAATGAGACCCTGTCTCAAAAAAAAGGGCTGAGGATGTAGCTGAGGGCAAAGGCTCATTCAATCCCCAGTACGACACACAAAAATAAACAGTATGATATGTGAGTTACACCTCAATAAATGTGCTTAAAAGGAAAGAGAGGAAGGAAGCTGAGTTATGAAAGACAAGAGAAATAATCTAAGAAAAGGGAGTCGAACAAACTAGTCGTAGCTGAAAAACCAGATGATGGGCCAACTTACATGCCTTTGACTAGTTGCAATGACGAATGAGGAGCTCACCTATCCAGATGGAGGGCAGCATTCCTTGCCATGACTCCCTCGCTCCCCAAATCAGACTTAAGTGGCTTCCAGCCATTGGCCACGTTTCTGCTCTGGGCCGCCTGACACCTACCAGACGTGATCCAACTTAATCACTGCTTCTGCTGGTTCACAAGGAGAGTACCTGACAACAGTTCAGAAATAACACACTAATGACACAAGAGAGAGGTTGCAGTAACCAAGGCAGACTTCCCTTTAACACCTAACTACCCTACTCCATCAGAACAGGTACAAATTCAGGACAATTCCAAACATGACTGACCCAGGGATCTCAGTTCTAGAATTTTATGAATAGTTCAATTAAAAAACAAACCTAACCTTTACGTTAGATTCTCACATTTTAAGCAAAAAAAGAGTATCACCACATAGAGTTCTAAGGATTGAACTATCTTAGCCATAGTAGTTTTTCAGTTGCAATAAATATGTCATAGTTTATAGAGCAATGATAGAGTTAAGGTGAGGGTGCAGCTTTCCTAATCAAAACCAGAGAAAACACCCCACAAACCCGTGAGAAAAAAGGGACTTCAGTGTGCTCTCCACTTAACAGAAAGAACGGATCACTCCCATTGGCGTGGAGGAGGAGACTTACTTGTTCATAAGAGAGTAATATTTAAAGTAAAAAAGATAAAAGGATGATCATGAAGAACAAGCACAGGGTACATTTCACTCTTACACAGGGGAGCAGAGAGGCACCATAGAGGACTTCTAAGCTTCTAGAAGGCCTTTCTACACATGGTGTTTGGAGGAACTTTGGGGAACAGCCTAGGAAGTAGTGTCAGAAAAATGGGCAAAAGGAACGGGAAAGCGGGTCCAAAGGCAGGGAAGGTTAAAAACTGAGGAACAGTTTGGTGGGGAAGGCAGATACAAAGGAACGTCCACCGCCAATTTCCTTCGGCTGCAAAAAAGGGTGAACTGTGCTACCATTTGAGTGACAGAAATGAAGGCCCCAACAGGTAGTTGCAAAGCGGATCAGAGACTGGCAGGAGGTACTCAGAAATCCAGGTCAAACGGGGAGGTCAATGGACACAAAATGAAACTGGGTAAGCGAGATTTCCCAGAATACGGGTATCAGAGACTGGGAGGAAGCCCTGAGCCTGTGTAGATAAAAGTTAACAAAACTGAAAGAAGAACGCTTTGATCCAGTAATAAGCTAGAAGAAGGTATAGGGTGGGGAAGGCTAGGAAGAGGCCGGGGAGACTTGGAGCCCAGGGGAAGTGGGCCACAGTGCAGGGAAGGGAGACGAGAAGCCTGGGGCGGGAGGGCCGGGGTGGAGGCAGCTGGGCTCCTGGACCAGAGACTGCAGCAAGCGGTGGTACTGGGGGCGGGGGGCCCAGGAAACGGGACACTAATAGACCAGGAGAAGCTCCACTCTGCGGCACCCGGGGTACAAGGACCTGGTTTTCGGGAGGAGGCAGAGCCGGAGGTGTGCGGGCAGTATGTTCCTAAATCTTAGCAGGCTGATCAGCCTCCCCGGAGGAGGGAGGCCCAGGGGCCGAGGGCAGGGTCACGTTCAGGTCTGGGAGAACGTGAAGCGGACCCGCTCACAGGGAGGGTCCCGAGTCTGGAGAAACCAACGGCGAGTTCTTCAGGTCTGAGAGGGGGCGACTGTCGGGAGGAGGGAGGACTGGTGTAGGGGCACAGGTCCTGGGTGGATGAGCCCAGGCCAACGCACGGCCAGTGGTGGGGAGGGGAGCTTCCGGATCCCGGGCGGACCGGTCGGGGGTTTCAAGTCCGGAACAGTACTCGGGGCTGGCCAGGGGCCGGCCGCGGCAGGCGCCAGGTCCGAGGGCCAGGTCAGGGCTGGGGCTCCGCGAGTGTGAGGCACCGGCTGGGCAGGTCCCGGGTGGGAGGCGCCGGTGCGGGAGGCCGCGGCAGCGAGGGCCCGATCC